GGAGGGAGGGGGTAGGGGAAGGCGAGGGGGAAAGGGGGGAGGGGGAACAGGGGGTACATCTTGTGACAGTGACTGGTGTTTGGCCTTTAATTTAACGAAATCAAAACACTATTCTTGAGTTTTGCTTTTTTTACAGTAATATACGCTCAGGTTGATCACAGTTCGAATTTGCAACCAAACAAATCCTTCTCCTTTTTGTAGCATAATGTGTCAAAGTTGCACGAACTGTATCAGTTATTTCTTTCCTTGAATTTCAGATCCCAACAGAGACGAGCAGATCGACGTGGTCACAGAATCCGGTGACGTCACCAGATCTTCCTCAGACCGGCGGGGAGATAACTCCTCTTCCAAACACCACGAACCGGAAGTCAGTCATTGTCGTCTCTCACCGGAACTACCCAGAGGCCCCGCTTACATCGCTAGTGACCACGCCCACGTAGATCTGGACTCGGGCAAACCCAAAATCTGGTCGGTGACAGACTTTCTGAGCTCCGCCCACCACCCGGCGAAAGACGGGCCGCCAGGGGCGTTTTCTAAACTGGACACTCTGAAATCAGTCTCAGACTTAAGCCCGACAGGACTGACGGCATCAGATGCTTCTCGGGCTAACGCTCTCCTCGGCAGGTCAGTCGGCTCGTCTGCTACTTCCAACGGACTGAGTCCACTGTCCAGCCCCGCCCACCACCTATCGGCCTACCAGTCGACGTTAGGATATGGTGTAGGGGCGTATCCTTACGCGCTGTCTTCTTACGGGGGTGCCAAGCTGCTCCGCCCCTCCATGTCAGCCGCAGCAGCCGTGTCTCGCTTCAGTCCTTTCCCTTCCGTCAGACCTATGGGAATGGATTCACCGTACATCCCAAGACGTGACATTGGCTTAACCAGAGAAGGCGAATAGGCGATAGACTATGATAATATACATTTTTAGAAAAGATAAAGAAAGAAACGTTCCTCCTTTTCCCAAAGAGGAGATAGACAAAGAAACGTGTCACCTCTTTCCAAATAGAAGGTAGTGAAAGTAACGTTTCACCCCTTTACAAAAAGGAGAAAGAGAAAGAAACGTTTAATCTTTTTCCAAAGTACAGGAAAATGTCGCTGCTCCCTCAACAAACTTGATCTGTCAAAGAGGGCGTTTCCCGGCACCCACTCACAGCCACGACCCTGTCCAAGTCACTCAGTGACACACCCCTCTATCAGCGGCGTGGCGGCGTTCCTGCAGAAGGATGGACAATGGCTCCGTTTTGGGGGACTTCAGGCCAAGGCCGTAGATGGTTAGACACCCCAGTAGTGGAAAGATATCACGTTGTGTATGTAACAGCATCTGTCGGCGCTTACTCTTGAGTGAAGTCATCAGTCATTCTGTTACTCAGTCATGAGAGTTGAGTCTAACACCCAGTGCACACTGCCAATCGTCGTCGGGTTCATTTGAATGAGTCAGGATCAACCAGATTTGTCCCTCGTGGATAGAACAGAAGCTACCATTTTTGCACAATATTATCGATTCGTCTCTCGACGTAGAAAATCAAACGGGTTTGATTTTGAGGGTCGCAGTCGGAATTAGTTTAATTCAATCGTATAGTGCCAAATTGGCAGCTTTTGCCCCATCCATGAAGGAAAATCTGGCTAGCCCCGACTCACTGAAATGAATCAGATGGACAGCGTGTTTATGGTATAAGACAGCATATTTTGACCCATTCCCGGGTACAGGACTCATCTGAACGATTGCCTAACAGAGAAAAGTTATGGGTCGACAGACGACAGAGATTTGTATTGGCAATGATCACATGAGTGACAGAAATGTGGTGGTAATGTCATACCAGTTTTAGTGGTGTTAATGTTGCTGTTGTTGTAGATGATGAAGATGATGATGATGATGATGATGATGATGAACAACCCAAGCAGGTGGAGATAGGAGTAAGAGGAGCTCAAAGCAAAATATTGTAGGGCGAAACACTTAAATGCTTTGCTTGTAAATGTCGAGTAAAATGTTATTTCTCATCGTTTTTGTCTCCCAGGATTGGATATGGTATTATTGTACAAAAGTTCTACGAGCAGAGCGAAATCTAAACTGTAAATTTTCGTGAAATTATTTAAATGCCAATACTTTGTAGATCTCTAATTGTATTTCACGTACTGTTTTATTGTTGATGACTTTTATGATTTAATATGTCACTGAGCACATCAGAACTCCTCAAATTGATATGTCGTGTGGTTGTGATTGAAAAAAATTCTTTGATATAATATTTTTTGTTGTTTCCCGAAGTTTTCATCTGTTTCGGTTTGGAGATGAGGGTGGGGAGGGGGGGGGGTGGGGCAAGAGGTAGTCGGGGTTGCATTGGAGAAAAACCCGAATGGAGAAAATGGCAGGAAGAGGCAAAGTTTGACGGTAAACAGTATGCAATAGTTTACCATTTGCTGTGTACTGGTCTGTGAAGGGTGTCACGAAGGTTACTTTGCTCTTTTGTACTCAGGTCTGTCATTGTTAATGAACTCTGAACTTGAATCCAGGCGTGAAAGGGTGATTATGTGAGAGAGGATGAGAAACAGAATCATAAATAGATGTTGGTGATATCCAATGGGAAGTTTTGATATGAGATGACTAATCTGATGATATCTGTTTGTACGTATGTATCTCTCTCTCTCTCTCTCTCTCTCTCTCTCTCTCTCTCTCTCTTTATCTCCCTCTTTCTCTCTACCAGTCTGTTTGTCTATCTGTCTATTTGCCTGTCTGTTCGTTTCGAGTCTGAGATAGCTATCGAGAAATCTAACATGATTTTGAAAAAACAAGTGAATAAGGTATTCGTGGATACGTAAAGTGTGACCGCTAATAATAGTTTGATTGCTGTATAACATATCCATATCTTATTAGTTTATGATAGAAAAGAACATAATAAGCAATTTTGTATGGTTGGTAGGGAAAAAAAAAGGGATTCTATGTTTCCTGTCATGCGAGAAATTCTGAGCACAAATTATGGGCACTCGTATTATGGGTCTGCTTATCACTCACATATCACAACTAATTACAGAATAAGAAACTTCTATGGTAAATAATTATCTACCATTTCATACTTCTTGAATAGTGTAGACGTTTATTATCGAGTTTGTATGCTTGGATCGGTGTGGCATATTCAACTGGCAAAAATAATTTCATAAAGAAGAAAATTAAAAAAATCAAATTTTAGCTGTCTCAAAGGTTATTTCCCTTGATCTCACGAAATGGACATTACCCTCCATCCAACCCCCATCCCTCCCCAAAACAACAACAAACCAACAAACAAAAAAATCCCCTAACAAACAACAAACAAACAATCCAACACCCACTCTCCTCGTTTTATTTTCTCCCCGCTCACACATTTCCATAAAAGAAATAAAATCGTAAAACGTAAATCAGGAACGATCTTTGGAAATCGAATCTCGCGGTGATCACATTGGCACCAACCCAGAAAAAACTGCCCCGAGACAGAAAAAAAGAGAAGAAAATTTGTCGCCATTATACGGTTTCTGCAAAATCTGGAGGGCATCGGATGAGTGTTTACGCTTCTTTAGCCATGAAAGAAATACACAAATGCTGAACATCATGACATTAATTCTTCCAGCCGAGCGTTTTATAAAGCTTTAAAACTTTTTCGTTTCGTATAATATGAAGCTCGATGAATACACCTGATTGTAAACACTTGATTCTCCTAGCATACCTGTACTTGTGGGGGTTTTTTCTTTTCTTTTTCTTATATGGAGGACGATGAATACAAATGATCGTAAACACTTGAATCTTTTAACATACCTGAATTTCTTTTTGTTGTTTGTTGACTTTTTTATTGCTGTTTTTTTTAAAAATTGTTAGAAACATTTCTTTAGACATGTACCCGATCAGTACTTTGGGAAACCTGCCGTGTTTTGTTTTTGGTTGTTTGTTTCTTGTTTTGTTTTAAAATTTGAACATTCAAATTATTTCACAGTTTAAGTATTAATTTTGCTATGTATCAATACAGAAATGTAATATATGCACGACAACAATTTTTATTTTAGTTTATTTCTATTCATTGATTAAAAAAAGGGGGTGGTGTGAAAAAAGGGGAGATCTTTGACAAATTTCCTCATCGATCATCTCAAGCTACAACATTGTCACAAGCAGAAAAAATACAAAGCAATACAAATTATCACAATGGAATGGATATCTAAGGGAGACAACTACAGGGATCGATATCGATTAAGTTCACAAAACATCAAAAACCGTACTCGTGAACCTAGGAGTTCATGTCAAACATGATTGTTGGTGGAAGAGGAAAAGAGCAAAATTATTTAAAAAAAAAAAAAAAAAAAAAAAAAAAGGATTTGTCAATAAAAGGCGAATCAATATTGCTTATTGTGAGTTTCATCCAGAATGAAATGTTCACGCCTAGGATATTGATTGACTATAGAGCTTTCCCGTTCTTTAGTAGGGTACAATCATAGATTTGAATAGTTTTATCATAGACCGTGCACTTTAATGGGCGCCACTATTCTGCCGTCATTAAAAGATACAGTATATTCCGGAGTTTTTTTTCCTTGATTTTCACAATTTTACAGGAGAGACAAAAAAACAACAACGACACACACACAAAAACCCCCACAAAAAACCCCAACAACAACAAATGAACGAAGCAACTGACTGATGTTACCAAGAAACAAACGACAATTCAACATTTTTAAAACTACATGTAGTTGAGTGCGTATAGCAGCCTCCCCAACCCCTTTATTTTTGCTCTCTATTTGGCTTGAAACTAGGTCAAATAGTGCTCTCCATAGTGAACCGGAACTTCCCCAGAGTTCGCAATCTAGGATTGTAAAGTTCAAGTGTATGCACACACTAACGACACAATAATATAATGGTCTTGTGATTGGGCAGGTTTTAGTGATGTTGATGCTGATGTGCCATTTCACATTAGTTCGAATCGAGATTGCTTACATTTTTAATAATAATAATAATAATAGATAGCATTTATATAGCGCAAATCCCCGCTCAACCGCAAGCTATATGCGCTTCACAATCTAAACTATCTTTTCCACTATCCTTTCGATTAATAACAAAGCGTGCATTAATGATTGATAGACTGATACGTGCGGTTTCCTCTTGAAGACTGTAGCTCCTTATTTATTATCCCCCCCCCCCTTCCACCTTGACACTTAACCTGCCACAACAGATTAGATCCATCGACTGTTGTTGCATTTGTCCCGAAAGAACTTTATCCTATGTGAGAATACAGGTGCTCACCCTATTAGATGATTAACAGAAAAAAATCCCCCAAAAAACCAAACCCACCACCACCACCACCAACAACAACAAAAACAAAAAACAAAATCACCAAAAAAATAAATAAAGCAACAACAAAACGCACACACACACTCACGCACTCATACACA